AGGTGAGGGCAGCCCCGACTTCACTGGGTTGTTGGAAGGATTAACCGAATTAATACTTATGAAGTGCTTAGGGCAGTACCTGGCACATTGTGCCTCCACACAAATGCACTGAAAGTAAACCTGGCTGTCCACCAGAGCGCACACACCCTGCATTCCTCCAGAGGACAAGCTCAGGGGAGAAAGCTCAGAGATCAGCTAGTACCCAGAGACAGAGTGGGCTGAAACGCTTGAAAAAATTAAGACCTCAAATTTGGGGGTTAGGAAGAGCCCAGCCTTTGGTAGGGGTAGGGGTGGAGGCAGGGGGGGACAGGTCGGAGAGTGGCCACCGCGGCCTCAGGCCCCAAACCTGGCGAGGCTGTTCTCTCCAGGATGCTCCCTTCCAGGACCAGACTCCAGACTGACCTGTCTGGGTCCCAACCTCCCCTCCACCCTACCCTGCTCCCCACCCCAGCCCGGGCGCTCTGGGTTTCCTGCCCGCCCGAGGCCCCTGCTCCAGGCACGCGGAGGAGGGGTGGCATTTCCTGGCGGGGCCGCGGGCCGCGTCACTCGCTCCTGGACGCTCGGACAGCGCTGACCGACAGGCACCAGATGCTATTTCAGGCGGCGCCCTGCTCAGTGCGCAGTTTCCGTTTTTCCACCGACCGTCGGAAACAGGGCAGGGGAGGAGGGTGTAGACGTCACGAGCCCCCCCTCCTCGCTTCAGGCGGGGGTGTTGGGGGCGGGGGTTGGGGCAGGTCCGCGATGGCTGCCAGACTGTCAGAATCTCGAGCTTTGCGAGCTTTGCGAACAGAGGGGGTGGTGAGCGTCACCTCCGCGCCCTGCCACGGATACCTGGGCACACTCTTCTGCCGCAGGGTTGACGAAAGCCTTGCCGCCTGTGTTCCTTCCCTACAGCCTTGCGGGGTCATTTAATGCCCGGTAGGAGAATCCGACAGCTTGTAGCTGCCCCGGACACCTAAACTCAAGAAATTCGAAACCAAATGCAGAATCTCTCCCCATGCTCCCTGGCCTCCAGGCCCCTATCTCCAGGAATAACACCACCGCCTAAGCCAAGGAGAGCCAGAAACCCAGAGGGGTCCTGGATTTCTGCTTCCCTCTCATCCCCCAAACCCTATGGGTACAACCCCAGTTTTGTATCCTAAATACAGGTCGTCTTCATCTGCCTCTTGTCATCTCTTCCTCGGCACCCTAGTCCACCCTCCCACTGGACCACTGCCTTGGTGTCAGAACTGGTCTTCCCACTTCTTACCCCCCCCCCCCCACACACCCCTTCGTCACCTTGCAGCCAAAGAGCTTTCTAGAAATGCAAATCTGATCCTTTTTAGGACACTATGCATCCCCCTCCCCCGGAACCAAATAAACAAAATGGTTTCTTCTCCTAAATCCTTTAAATTGGCCACAGGCTTGTTCCAGCCACACTGGACTCTTTTCTGTTCCTTGCATGAAACTAAAGCCCTTCTTCCGCATCAGCCCTTGGCCCACGCAGAAGGCTCTCAATGTTCACTCTTTTACCCACCCTCAGATCTCACTCTCAGTTCTCCATCCAGGCATCATTTTCTCGGGGAAGCATTCCCTGGCGGGGCTTTCTGATATGGGAATGGCCAGCACCTATTTGCAGGGGCTCAGAGAAGCGAACTGACTTCTGGAACTCAGAATTACAGGAGTCCCCCGCTTTCAGTTAAGTGATGCAGTCAGGCAAAGGCAATGGGGACCAGAGGAGGAGAGATGAAATCCAGCCCCGTTGAAGGGAGGCTTCAGGGAGGAAGTGGCCAAAAGGTTGAATCGTGAGAAACGCGAGGAGACAAGAGAAGGCCAATAAGGCAGAAGGAGCAGCAGTAGCTGAGGCACAAGGGGGGATTCGGTGTGATGATAGTGGGTGAGGCAGGGCTGGAGCCATGGGGAGAGAGCAAGAGATCAGGCCTAATAGACCCCAGAAGCCTCTCCTCAGGGTCCCTGTGGAAGGCTGGAATGGCTGGGCCAGGGGACGCCTTGTGACATGTCCAAGAATTAAATTATTTTTCGCAGAACTTGGATGGTTCTTCTCCCAGGAGATTCTGTAAAAGTTACCGGTATGCACAGGGTGCCCTGACTTCCACCAGAGAGCACGGGGGGTGTAGAGGCCACAGCCTGCACTGAATTGACCCTATCTTCACAGAGAGTCATCTTGATGGCAAGGAGGGGCCAGTACTCAGACTGTGACCAGACTCTGGGCACTGTCCTTGACTGGGACTCAGTCCGGGACCAGATGAAGGGATTTCCCCAGTTTTCAGGCTGCAAAAGAAGCTCCGAAGCAGAGCTACGGGGAGGACCAAGCATCCTGGCATGGTGGGTAAACCTGTGGACTGGGAACTAGGTACTTGAGTTTGGGTGTCAGCTTTTGCTGGGTTCACTGTGAGCTTTGGCCAAGTCACATCTCTCCGTGCCTTAATTTCCTTGTCTGTAACAATAACCAGAACTGCCATGCAAGTGCATATGATGTCATCCTGGGCTCTGGGCTGTGAGGGTTCCATAGATTACTGTTCTCACAGCTACCTTTTAAAGGTCATTTAATTCTCACAACAAATCTGGGAGGTAGGTATCATCTCCCCATTTTACAGAAGAGGAAACAGAGGTTCGGAGCCAAGCGACTTGCAAGATTTAAACCTGGGCTTTCCCCTCCACCATAAAAGAATGAAACCAGATGCCCTCCATGAGCTGAGCCCCAGTCACCACTCCTCGCTGAACTCAGACTTCTACCCCACACTAAGATCTTGGTCCCTGCAATGAGTTGAACCCAGATCTGTCATCCCAGCCTCGGCTCTGGCTGCTTTTCGTCATCTGCTGGGCTCCAGGTGGACACTGGTGCCAAATGAACTTCAAACCCAGGCTCCACCACTCACCAGATGTGTAACATTGGTCAAGTTTCTTTTACTCTCTGTGCCACAGTTTCTTCATCTCTAAATGGAGGATGGTAATAGCACCAGCATTGTATATGAGAACGAAAGGAATTTGTATGTGTAGAGTGCTTAGAACGGCGCTTCAGTAGCAGGATTAAACTGTTTAAAATATTATGAGGGATGGGATGTTCCCCGGGCTCTGGGCTCAGCCTGGAACTCAAGCAGAATAGACGTTTAAATCGCTCCGTTGACAGCAATTCTGCCTCCACAGAGCCCCCGGCTGTGAGCTCAGTCTATGCCACGGGAGGCAAGCAAGCTCCATTTTAGAGCAGAAAGGAGCCAGGGCTGAAGGGGCTGGGGGGCTGGGGGGCCGGGTGGGGGGGGATGCTGGGAGCTTCCTGGGATGAGGAACTGCCCATTGAAATCCGGGTGTCTAGGACTGGAGAAAGAATGGATGCCGGGGAAGGGTTGGGAGTGATGGTTTTGGTGTCGGAGGTAGGGACGGGGTGCTGGGATGAGAGTCGCTGAAGAAAGGTGTCTCGAAGGCCGTGGGACAGAGGTTGCGGGGTGCCCGGTTCCCCAGAGGCTTCGGGATCAGAAATGGGGCTGGACTCGCCGAGTCCTAGACCGCGCGCCCAACTCTCTCCGTGGCGCATTCCGGAGCCGGTCCCAGCGCCGCGCAACCAGTCCCCGCTCCCTCCGGTGAAATTGCCAAATTAAAATGAATCATTTGGCCCATAATGGCCGAGGCGCTTATCGGGGGCGAGCGGACCCGCGGCAGTGCCTTATCTCGGCGGCGCACACGGCCCCGGCGCGCCTCGGCCCATGCTAACGAGGCCCAGAACGTGAGCGGGGATTAGCGCGCGTCGCTGGAGGAGCCTGGGCGCGCGGGCGGGGGACGGGGACGGGGACCGGGGGGGGGGGGGGGGGGGGGGGGGCCCCCGCCCCGGGGCCCCGGGCCCGAAACCCCCCCCGGCGGCGGGCCTCCGCACTGAGGACCAGGCCTCAAAATGGCCACACGCGTCCCCCCGTAGCGGCAAAACGTGAGCATGCTGGCCTTTTTCTAGGGGGAGGCAACCTACGGCCTCCCGCGGAATTCCCCGTCAGTTCCTCTCTCCCTTTCCCCCCGCTCGCCGCAGAGGTCTTCGCTCCTTTTCCCTGGGTTTCTTTCGATGGGGGGCATTTTCCACGGACGCCCTCCGCTCTCCGCCGCCGCCCCTCCCGCCACGGAGACTCTCTTCCTTCCTTCCCCTTTTTCCTTACGCAATATACAGAAATGCGCGAGGCGGTGGTTGGTTTTCATTTCTTCTTGGTGGTTGTGTGCATGCGGTGGGATTGTGAGTGCGTGTGTGAGCCGTCGGCAATGCTGACTTCTTCCGAGTGTGGACTTCCCAGGCGATGGGCTGTGTCCGAGTGTGATGGTGTCCGCGCCCTTTGGGTTGTTGATTTGGATTCTTCAAGCCCTTCTGCGTTTTCATCGTTGTATACAGTTATGCTCGTTGGCTTTCTCGACACGGGTCTGCCTCTGGGTGTTGGGTTGTGTGGCCTTGGCGATTGTGTTTGGGTGGTTTCGTTGTGTCGGGCGTGTGTGATCCTGACTACCTTAGGTGTCTGTCCGTGAGCGATTGCGTTGGACTGATTTCGTTGTGGCGCGTTGGACAATGTGCGGGCCCGACCATGTCGACTTGCGGGGCAGTGTTGGGTTGTGTTTACTTTGCTTCCCTTCTGTGGGGCTGGACCGTGTGTGGTCCTGTCCATACTGGGTTGTGTGCTTGTGTCCTTTAGAAGTGCATTTGCAAATCGCTGGGGGGTGGAGGGGAGGGCGAGCAGGAGATGGGGCCGCAAGTTGAGGAGGCGGCAAGGGGGCGGGGAGAGGGATTTCACATTTTATTCCAAATTATGATGTATTCGGAAGCCAGTGTTGGCTTGGATGGGCAGACGGAGCCCGGTCGGCGGCTGCTCTGTCCAGAGGCCAGCCTGTGCCCCGGTGTTCGAGGGGTTTGTTAGAGTGGGAGGTTCTTCAGGCTCGGAGCTGAGCAGCGCTCGCCAAGGCCCGCGCCTTCAAGCCGGTAGCCGCCGGCTTCGGTTTCCGCCGCACCCAGGCTTCATCCATTTCTGGTCAGTTTCGCGGGTACCTCGGCCGGGGTCTGCGGGAGAGGCCTGGAAAAGACAATGGGCGCATTCTCCAGGTTTCGCGCCTTGGGTGGGGACCCTCGGGATAATCTCCAAAGAACACTTTCCTATCCCCTCCCCGGGTGAGCGACATTGCCGCGTGGGTCAGGTACACGTCGCGTCGGTGACCCCGGCCAGGCTTTGTGGAGGGATGGGGTTAGTGCTGCCCTCGCTGCGAAAAAATGGATTTTGTTTTGCCAGTTATTATGGTTACTGATGTCGTCGTCATCATCCTCATCCTCATCGTCATCATCATCCTTTTTAATTAAAGTAATCGTTCAGAAGCGAAGCGGCTTGTCCCTTTTAGCTTCTTTGGAGCGATAACAAAGCAGCGCCGTTTCCCGCCGCCCCCCCCCCCCCCCCCGCTCTATTTTTTAAGTTGCTGAGCTTGGGGTTGGGAGAGAAAATGGAGAGAGGGACGGACACACAGACTCTGTCATAAAGCAAAAATTAACCCAACCTAAGATACGGGAATGAGTGAATTCTCCCTTCTTCCCACCCCTCCCCCCATTTCGATTAGAAGAGGAGAAAGAAAATCTCCCGCATTGGACTGAAACTGCAGGGAAGAATTATTACTGAATTTCTACCAAAGCTGGGGTAAAAAAAGAGTCCTTTGGAATTAATCCAAGGCTTCGATGTGTAATCATAAACTGGACAATTTCGGCAAAACAAAACCCTTAGGAGGAAAAAAAAAAAAAAGCAGCCTAAATCTCACTACACTACACTCTGGGAAGCAGTATTGGATTTGTGTTTATCCTTCCTCCCTTTGCCTTGTTTATTGCTGCAAGGAATTAACTAGAATTCTCCTTTACTCTGCTAGTCTGAGCACTGAAAAATTGAAAATCATTGTGTGGGGATGGTTGAAAGGAAGACGAGGGCTGCCTGTGTCTCTTTCTTTCTTTCTTTCTTTCTTTCTTTCTTTCTTTCTTTCTTTCTCAATAGGAAGAAAAGACGGGACCTAGATAGAGCAAGATATCTCTCCCTCCCCTCCCCCATTCTCTTGGATCAGTGCTGTTCTGACTCCATTTCTCTGAGAAAGTAGCTTTTGGAATTGGGTTCTGGTTTCGCTTTGGGCTAGAGGTGGATATGGAGAGAATGGGGGCCTTGGAGGTTCTGCCCCACAGATCAGGGTCTGAAGACTGGAATCCCCTTTTCCAACACACATTTCCCACCCACCCGTGCTAGGCGTTGTGGCTGCTGCTTGGGCCTGACCGGGGTTCCCAAGCCAGCCAACCGCATAGACATGTCAGTGCTTAGAAAACAAACTCGGCTGGCCGCACTGAACCAGACATCCCGGTTGGAGGGCCCGAAAATGCTCTGGCAGTCTGTGGAGAGCTCGTTTTTTTTTTGTTGTTGTTGGAGTAAATAGTTATTCCTGATTGGTCAGGTGTAGGGTTCTTTTTAAAGGGGGGCTGGGGGGAGGCTTCAAGCACCTGCAAGTTGGGGGCAGAAAGCTGTTTGCAATTCCCTGGGCTGGTCGGCGGCGAGGACATGAGGTAATTCCCAGCCATTGACCCCCATTTCTCTCTCTCCCTCCCTCTCGCCCTCCCTCTTTCTCTCCACCCCCATCTTTCCTGGAAACTCGCTTTGGGCGCGGCAGACTGCCCAGGACCACACCGTGGCCTAACTGCTGGTCTCTCAGCGAGAGAGGGGGAAAGCAAAGACCCCAGTCCACAACTTGGACCTTGGCTCCCGCCCCTCTCCGGCGGAGTGGAGATCCTATTCAGAGGGGCTTGTCTCTCTAAATATGCCCCAGGTGAGTTTTGGGGGAACAGTTATCGGTGGCAACAGTGTCCAGGAAGACCTTGGGTTCCGGCCTGGGGTGGGGGAGGCTCAGGACAGAGGCCAGTCCGGTCTCCGATTGGGTGAGGGGAGGACGAGCCCAGAGCTGGGAATCCGGGATCCGTGCCTCTGTGGTTTCTAGCGGGACCCTTTCTTTTTTCAATCCTGGGTAAAAACACCTAGCTGGACTTAGCCCCCACAGGCCGCTCCCATCAGTCCTGGTGCTGTGCTTGCTTCACAAGGCTCCTAACTCTGGGGCAGCTATTTCTGGGTGGTGCAGGCTGCGTGTGCCTGGGCCGCTGGCAGGAAGAAGGCCCAGCCATCCTGGCTAGTGCAGTCCCGACTCCGGTGGGCCTTGACCGGGGCCTGAGGCCTAGAGCGGAGCGCAGCTGGAACACTCCTCCACTCTGGTAGTAGCAGGGAATATGGTTCTGTTCTCGCGAATGCAGCGCAGGCTTGGGGCTCCCCCGGGGGTTCGTTCGGGTGTGGGTGCAATATGAAGGGCAGGAAGCTAGCTCTTACCCCAGGTACCAGCGGAGGCTGTTTTCACATGAGAAATTTTCCCTGCCCGGAATTGGGAGCTGCGGAGACCCCGTTGCTGCCCCCCAGGAGCTCCTGGGATCCCTGCCTTGTTCAGACTCGAACGGAAACGTTGCGGCCATCTGGCAACAGGAGATGAGGATCCGGTGTTGGGGGCTGCGAGCTGGTTCTGGGCCGCACAAAGACAGAGGAGTTGTAATGGTCAAAATAGTCTAGTTCGATTCTGTTCAAAAGCTTCTCCCCATTCCTTTGTCTTCCCCAAATAAAAACAAATGAACAAAGTAAAAATCACTCGGGCTTTCCTTTCAGTAATCTTAACCAAAGCCAAGTGATTGGGGTTAGTCTCCTACAACCAGAGGTGCTTATGAGTCCGCTGTTGGCTTCTTCTGGAGCATGGACCTTGGCATGGGTGATCCTGGTTGCAGAACAGCCTGCCGGGTTTTCCTGAGGTCCAGGGATGGGCGGGGAGAGGTCGGCCACAGACCCTGGGGGCCAATCAAAGGTTTCTCACGGGGAGCCTCCGAGATACAGATATTTATAGGCCTCTGGGGAGGGCATTTGGGGCCAGAGTCAACTCATCTGGAATATGTGCTCCTCTTGCCCCTTGGGGACCCGCGCCTACATGAAGCCTCAGAATTAATCAGAGGGTATAAATGTGTCATAAGGAGAGCTTGAACTCAGTCTGGTGATTGCAGTGTGCACCGTTGGTCACTCTGGTTAGAAGCTGGGGCTGAAGCACGTGTCACCGGGCACACAACGGTGTGTGGGGACAGTAAGGTAGGGAACCAGCACCTTGGGGGTTGTATATTTTGCCACAGGATGGTATATTACTGGTGCATTTCACTGCTGCAGGGGAGCCAGGAACACCAGACTGGTATACCTCTGGTGCATTTCTAGTGGCTGCAGTGTCTTGGCAGTCCCATTCTGTGGATACAGATCTATTGTTGCCGCCATAATCGTAAACTCATTTCCAGTGAAGCCTTGTGAACCCACTGCTTTTGCAGCTCATGTACACCAGGTCTTGGGGAATTCTGTTGTCTCCAGGGCGAGCCCCTGGAGCTGGCAGACCCAGTGCAGAAGTGCAATTTGAATGACAATTCTCCATCAGCTTGTGTGTCTGGTGGCAATTTTGCTGAGCCCCGAAGAGGTTTCAGAAGGTCGGGTCTCTCTTCTGGAGCTGGAGGATATTTCCCAGGCCAACTCTTGTCCGGAGCGGTGCAGTGGCGGAATGGCTGCCGCGAGTGATTAGATGCCCTCTGGTTGGGGATGAATTGGATTTTTGTGTATTTTCTGCTATAAAATATCCCAACCATCTAATTCAGAGAGCAGAAATCTTCTTTTGGACATCTTATGAAGCCTGTTGGGTTGATTATATATGTATTTTATTAAAAGAACTCACAAGCATCCCCAAACTGCAGACCCAGAGTCTCATGGTTTTTTGGTTTTCATTCTTTCGGGAGCCTGGCTCTATAGGCATCGAAGCAGGGCGGTGGAAGGCCCCCAGTCAGTGTTAGTGGGGACTGGAGCCTCTGTGGTCACCCTGGTGTATGGTTGTGGAGAAAAGAAGGCGTGTCCTCAGCCCCAGGGATATACATGGAAGGGGGTACACAGGAGGATAGCTCAGACAGAGTGAGATAGAAGTTCTGGTCCTGCTCTGTGGCTCTGTGGCCAATAGGTTCATGTGACCTTGGGCAAGGCATTCCCCTGGATGGTCCTGATAATGTTTCCTTGAGCATTTGCAGGTGCTTTTAAATGCATAAATGAGGTATTGCCCCCATTTCCCAGAGGACAACACCACGGCAGGAGAGGGGGATGGAAGAGTTCAAGGGCCTTCGTGCTACCTCTTCCTGCTCACAGATGGGAGCCTAGACCCCGGTGGCCTCAGGAGCATTCTGAATGCTGAGGCTCCATAGCCCTTCAGCCAAGCCTCCCTTCCAGACCCCACCTCACTTGAGTCCAGCTAGGCAGAAGGAGGTGGAGTGTGCGGGGGACGTAGGGCTAGGATCATTTTCTTCTTTCCCAGTGTCTCATCTCTGGTCTCGGTGGGAGTAAAGGGCCACCGGGGTTTCCAGCAGCTGCCCAGAATACACGGTGTATTTGCTTACTACAGACAGACAACCCCTGCAGGGGGGTGCATATGTGTTGAAAAGAGAGCAAGAAGCGCTGCCAGCTGTGGCACAGTGGACCCCAGGCCCTGTAGCCTCCATTCCCTGAATTCCCTACTTGCACCCCTCCCAGGTTTCTGGATGTTCCTGTGCGGGGCGGCAGGCTGGGGGCGGGTATTGCTGAGGGTGGTTGGAAAAGCACCCCACCTCCGCGCCACAGTTTCCCCGCCAAAACCAAAAGGGGGGCGGGAAGAACATGGTCAGGGGATTTGTTCCCTCCTCTTCCCTTGCGGCCTGAGCAGGGGGACAAGATGGTATTTCTTTCTCGCCTCTTTCTACATTTCCTTCCTTTTCCCCCTTCTGTTTTCTTTCGCTGGCTGTATTCCTTTTCCTCCAATGCCTGTCGTGTTTTTCCATCTCTTCAGTCTCTGTGTCTCCCAGGCCCATCTCCCTTCTCCCAAACTAGAGCCCCCCCCCCACTTTCTCCCTCCTGCCCCAGCCCCCCGCTGGGCCTTCAGGCCCCGGGGGAGGGCGTGTGTCCACGTGGCGCTAAGTTGGTCCGCCTCTTCCCACGTCTCGGTGCGAGAATTTCTCTGACCCCTGCACCCCCTTCACCCACCCCTCGGTGGGCTGGGGGCGGTTGTCAGAGCGGGCGTCCGCTTGTCTGTCTGTCTGCCCGCAGGATGACGGAGCGGCCGCCGAGCGAGGCGGCCCGCAGTGACCCCCCGCTAGAGGGACGGGACGCGGCCGAGGCCCGCATGGCCCCTCCGCACCTGGTCCTGCTGAACGGCGTCGCCAAGGAGACGAGCCGCGCGGCCCCCGCGGAGCCCCCGGTCATCGAGCTGGGCGCGCGCGGCGGTCCGGGGGGCGGCCCCGCCGGTGGGGGCGGCGCCGCGCGGGACTTAAAGGGCCGCG